GGGTTTCTGCCAGGGAGATTACTTAAGCAACAACAACCAAAAAAACCAAACAACAAAAAAAAAAAAAAAAAAAAAATCAAATCACACTCAATTACACATCTCTCTAACTGTCCAGCCAGTGACAGGAACCCAAACCCCACTAATGTCACCGAGCAAGCTGGTGCCAAAGGCAGGAATAAAAGAGAAAAAGGCTGCCTGGGCTCTCCTCACATCAATAAAACATGAAGCCACTTCGGCAGCGGGTAGGATTTTCCACGCAAAGCCTTCCCCTCGCACCAGCCCTGCTCCGCTCAGCCCAGCCAAGGCGGGGAGCAGGGACCCGCAGCGTGCCGCCTCGCTGGCACCGGGACACGCGCCTCCTGCCAAACTGGATTTGGACATTTTTGCAAAGACACTCAGTGCTCCAGAGCCAAGATGCAACAACACCGTAAATCCACCAGCTCTTGGGAAAACAAGCTGCGGTTGATGGGGGAGGAGAAAGCACGCAGAAGGCAGCTGTGTATCTAAAGCATCCCCGGGTTGCGGGGAGCCCCAACCCTTCCCTGGGATACATCGGTGTAACGGGAAACAAAACCCAGGCTCAAAACCCGACTGCCTCGTGCCACAGAAAATGACTGAACCCCTGTCTGTGTCCTCATGCTGATGGAAAACCTTCAAAATGTGCCAGAGCAGCGGGATCTCTAGCCACACTGTGCCCCGACACCACTCCCAGGGCTTGAGGGGTCTCCGTCGCTGACCCCTGGGCACCGGCACCTCCTTCCAGGCAGGGACTCCACACGGGTGTCCTCCCAAACGCTGAGGGACCAACATTCCCCTCCACCCGGACCACGGAGCCAGCACCGCCCCAGCTCAGCCCACGCGGCAGCTCCTATTCTGGAAATACAGAATAACCAGCACAACGGTCCTCGTCCCCAGGCACAGCTGGTCCCGCTCGACCCGGGGGCGATGGGGAGAGGCCCTCCGCAGCTGAATCTGCTATCACACACCGCCGCATTAAAATTGAAGCCCTCATCTCGTCCGCTGCAAGCGGCAACGTCTCGTCGCACCCCTGCGTGATCGAGGGGAGAACAGCAGCTTCAGGGGAAACAGCCCCGTTAATGGCGTGCGGATCCAAAAACCCAATCCGCTTACGAGCGAAGGAGATGCCCTGAGCAGGACGGGAAAGAAAAGCGGAAGGTGAGAGACTGGCAGGACACTTTCCCTGCCAAACTTTTTAGCTTGACTTCATTAAGGCTCCCAACGACGACAACCAGCCTCGGCAGCCCCGTGTAAATTACCGATGCTGTTTTAAGCGGCACTGAAAGGGAATATTCGATAGCAGACGTGCCTGGTGCAGTTTAAAGAGTGCGTCTTTACGATTTTCTGCTTCACCTGGGACAGAAGAAGAAATCAAACTGCGACCCAGTCAGAGGAACAGCCACGCGAGGCTGCAGGGAAGGAGGAGTGCCAGTGTTTATGTAGTGTTTGTGGTGTCTGAGGGCACAGCACCTCCAGGATAACATCGAGATACCAGAGAACATGTTTAAAAAAAAAAAAAAAGTCTTATTTAAGAATATCAAGATTTAAGAGAAAAGCCAGAATTCCACATCAGATGCCCAAGCATGCGAAGCCTTGTCTCCATGGAAACACATCACCTCCGAGGCTTTCGCATACAAAACCCTCTATTATCCACAATTTCCAGAAAGGGAACTGAGGCAGAGAGAAGCAGAGGTACGGGGCTGGAAGAAGCCGAGCTCTACCACGCCACGGTGACCAGCCGCACGGGTCCCCATCACCCGATATGACACGTCACACGCCGTCCGCTCGGGCCGTCCCAAAAAAAGGGGCTTTTGCTTTGCAGTCGGGACGGTCCCGGCACACGCAGAGAGCTCTCCCAGCGAGCGGCAATTTCACCACGTGCCCGGGCTCCCACCAGCTCCAACAGCACATCTGTAGCCACAGCTTTCTGGATCCCACCCCAACCCCTCTGCAGCCCGGACCGTCCTCCTCAAGGTCGCCTGGACATCCCTGCCCCACGTCCTCCTCCTGGCTTGGCAGTGGTAGAGAAGTTTTTAGTTCATTATGGTTTTATTTTGCTTTGCAAGCCCCCAGAAGATGGGCAGGCAAATCATTACCAACAGGAGAGAAAACCATCCGTTATACCCTGCTTCACCAGTGCTCCTGGTCTCGGAGAGCACCACGCACCCTCCCTGGAACCCAGATGACTATCAGGGATCCTGAGCTGAGCACCACAACAGCAAGGTTCCAAGCGATACCTGCCTCCGAAAGCACGGGAACCGGAGGTTTGCTTGCTCTGACAGAGCACAAGAGAAGTTTAATTAAACCCAGCAGCCCTGATTTCAGAGCAGAGATAAAGATGTAGTTAAGTTCTGCCTCTCTCTATCCCAGCGCTCAGAGAAACAGCCCGTACATATCTGCAAGAGATCTACATCAAAGACACAGTGTTTGAAACAGAAATCCCTTACAGCAAGAGAAGCAGTCTGTGATGAGAGCAACGTCGCTGTCTGAAGACACACTTCTTCCAGGGAGGAAGAGAGACGCAAGAGTACAAATAGATTTCAACATCGGCTGCTCCCTGTCCTGCCTTTCCCCCTGCGCAAAGCCAATCTGCCAAAACACAGAGAGCCCGCGCTGCTCCTGAGCTTCCCCCGACGCCGGTTTTGCAGCACGAAGCCTGGATGAGGCAGGAAGGGCCCCTCGTCCCAGCCAGGCAGGAGGACCGCACAACCCCTCTGCGTTCCCTCTCCATCGCTGCCCGCTCGGGCACTGCCAGCCTCGGGACCGCAGCCTGAGCCCGTGAAACGTGTTGACCTTCGTGTCAATACGGACCAATGCTAGGGCCGCGTGGTGAAAGGTGACTTCTGTCTTATATACCCTTGTATAACCGCAGGCCTGAGAGAAATGGAGTGGTTAACGTATATAGTTTTTGCTTTTTGTAAAAGACATACTTGTGTGTCGGTTCGGACCGGTTTTGCTGTTAACTGTATGGTGTCAAGCCATAAAAATCTGGAGTCATCCTAAGGGTGAGCCGAGGAAGGCCGTGCGCATACGTGGAATTTGGGGTCATCCTGAGGGCGAGCCGAGGAAGACCACTGACTCCATCCACCAGCTGAGGAAGACCACCAGATGGGAGCCAAGAAGAGCCTGAGGGCATGCGCAGGAAGAGATAAACCTACTCCTGGAATTTATTCGCATAGACCCACCTTTTCTATGAATATGTATTAGCAGAAAGGATATAAACCAGAAACAGGAACTGTACGGTGTGCGTCTTGGCAGAGCAGAGGCTCCCGGCGCACCCAGCGCTGTTTGCTTGCATTTATTCATTTAATAAATTGTAAAGTTAAATTGCAACCCGATTTGGGACTAAGTCATTTATCACAAGCGGCTCCAGCATCACGTCCCACCTCCGCCATCCCACTTCCACCCACGAGCTGGCCACACTCCCTCCCGCCGAAGGGCTGGGACAGGAGGTGGTTTCTCCTCCAGCTTCCCCGTGGACCCTTTGCAAAGCCACCGAGCACACACATCACCAGCGCTTTGCCTGTCTGCAGAGGGAGGAAAACACTTCTCGCGTTATTAAAGCCTTTCGGGTAAGGATGAGGTAGAGACACAGCAGTCACACCGCCGGTCAAGCGATTACAACGCTGCCCAGCTGGGAAAAGAAAAAAAAACTCGCTAAAAAGCTCAGGGGGATGCTCACTGCCTGGGGGTAACCTCCAGCACAGCCCTCCTCAGCCCGGGCAGCTGCGCAGGGGAAGCGGGAAGGTGCGGGGACGAGCACGGCCCTCGCAGGGGGATACGCCAACCCCTCGTCCGGCACAAGGCAAAGAGCCACGGGCACATCTGGAGCAAACCGAGAGAAAAAAGGAAGATGAAAGTTGCAAATTCTGGTGCTTCCGCCACATCACTGCTACCCAAAGACTCGACCACCGAGCAAGGACCAGCTCCCATCGAGCCCAGTGGCCCTTGAAGCAACGGTGGCACAATCACCTGTGGATCTCCGCACCAGCCTCGGCAGCTCAGACCCATAAACGCGACCTAGAAACCTTCCCAAATTGCAGCTCGTGGGTGGTTTATGCGGCAGCACCTTCTGCCAGGAGGATCTGCCACCACAGCTTTCCTCGCCGACGTTCCCCTCCAGACACTGCAGCAACCCCAGAAAAAAAAAAATAAATAAAAAACTCCCCTTTCCTGCTCTGAGCACAGCAAATTGAAAGAAGCTGGGGGAAAAGCAAATGTTTGCAGGACTTCTGCTTCACCGGCCGAGCCACACCTCCGCCACGCAGGGATGACTCAGTGCTCGGGGCAGGGTGACACAGTGGCCACAGCAAGGACGGCACCGCACCGGGGCAGACACCTCGTCATGCCCCGGTACCTCCCCAGCTGCAGGACAGTCATGACAGTGGCTTTGGGGGACAGCAATGTCACAAGGAGGGGACGGCCCAGCCCACGCTGTCCCCAGCAGCATCTCCCCGACACCGCAGAACCGGCCCCGACTTGGCTCGCGGGGACGAGGGTGTGCCTTCCAGAGGAAAAACAGCTCAGAAAGCAAACCACAGAGGAAAGCTCCAGAACGGGCAATTCCTAACGCAAGTGATTCATTTGGAAATGACGGCCCCGAGAATCCCCTACAACAGACGAGTGGGATTATTCACACCATTAGCAGGTCGCAGGCACGTTCCAGGAAAGCTCGCTCGGGAGCAAACCCAGCGGCGTAGCATTTCACGTCACCCACCGCGACAGGCTCTTGCTCGGTGCAGCCGGGTTTGCTTCAGGCATTGGGAACAGCAGAAGATCTGCGCTCTCCAGAGCTGCAAAGAGGCAAACTGCACCTCCATCAGCGGCATCTCAGCATCTGGGGGCGCCCAGGGCTGAAGGAGCCCCGCTCCGCACGCAGCCTCAACGCGAGCGGCATTACTGCACGCTGCGGGACACATCGCCCGCGCTGCCGGGCTCGTGGTTCACCCCAAAACCTGGCGGCATCGCCCACGCTCCAGGTGCCAGCGACACAGCCCGGACACAGTGAGCAGGACCGGGCAGAGCCCTGCGCCCCGGTGCGCCCACCACACACCCTGGGGAGATGCACCTTCCACCCAGAGCACATTCCCCGGGCTCTCAGGCACACTCCAGCACCTGAAGGAAAACAGAGGTGATTTAACGAGTCCAAAAGAGCCTCCACCTGCTCCCCATCGCCCCCGCAGCTGGGCAGCGGGAGAAGGTTTACATTCACAAGCCCCACCACAATTTCAAGCCACACAGTCTCATTTCTTCCTTGACGAAAGATGCAATAAGCCCCACATGTAGTGTGTACCCTCGATGTAGAGCTGCTGTGTTTTTATTCCCCTTTCTCCCGAGGGCTTAAAGCACCCATGTCCTGCAGGAAAAGCACAAAGCAAGCTACACAAATTACCCTCCAGGACAAGGTTTCTCCTGCCTGTCTTCGTTGCGCCGGTGCTACAGGAGGAATGATTCAGAAGCCCACGGAAACGAGCAGAGTTTAACTAAAGAGCCAAATGCAGCACGGGCAGCTCAGCATCCCCCTGAACCCCCTCATGCCACCTCCACCCTCACTGAATGGGCACCGAGACATGACAAGACGTGACCAGCACCTCACCGTGCTCTTCCCCACCCCACCTGCACCTCAGGCAATTATCCAAGAAACACAAATGCAAGTGGGCAACCGACCCACGCGCGGCAGGAGAACACAGGCAGAGACAAGGAGTAGCAGGATGCCGTACTTACCCCGGCAGCAAAGCCTAAGCTCCCATCTAGGATCCGCCTCTGAAAAGAGAAAAAAAAAAAAACAACAAACCAAACCACACCATTTACTCCTGGCAGAAACAAGCAGAGCGCAACCACGCCACGACGCGCGCGGTGGGGGGAAGCCAGCTGCACCGCTGCCCCCCCTGAGATAGCTTTCTTCTCCCCATCTCTGCAACCCAAGTGATTTCTGTGCTTTGAGGCAAGAGCTGTGGTCCTCAGCAGAGGAGCCCACCGTCCTGGGGTGACGGCACCCCACCACCACCACGAGCCTACAGCCCATCCTGGCTCCCTCAACGCACCCGCACTGCCCAGACTGGGCTCAGCTCATCCAGTGCCTGCACCAAAACCCTCTGAGGATGCAGAAAGGTAAACCACAAACTCTCCTGCCCATCTGTGCACGCTGCCCTGCATTTCCCCCCTGGAAGATTTTGATTCCTCTAATAAGAGGCTGCTCTAAACAAAGCCATCGCTCTCCCAGTAACCCAGCACGTACCCTGCCCGCTTCACTCCCAGTGCAGTTTTTCTTCTTTAGCACATCGCCCTCCCCCAGGAAGAAAACCAATGTGCGACTGCAAAGGGAATCTCACTTTGCAACAAACTCCTGAATAAATCATCACAAGAGAGAAGCATAAATAATAAATTCATCCGGGCAATTTTGAACACAACAGCAAGGGGGACCTCTAATTTTGGAATACAAGATGACTTAACGATCAGCACTTTGTTTGTTCTGAGCACGGGCTGACCCGGATCTCGCACCAGAGAAACAAGGTTACCGGAGGAGAACCTGCTGTTCCAAACACTGAGCCCTGCCTGCGGCTCTGCCCCATCTCCCGCACACCGTGAGCCGCGCTACAGCACATACCACAGCCCGGAGTCAGGAATTTGATTTCCTTCTCTTCTGTGCTGACACACGGGAGAGAAATGAGCTGGATTCTTCTTCCTCCCATCCCAGGGCCTCCCAGAGCCAATGTCAAGTCCCTCACACTTGGGACCAAGTGGTGAAACCCACCCATAAGCACAATGCAGCCCTCCACCGGACCCAATTTGCCTCCCAGGGACAGAGGACACGATCCCAGCACTCACCTGCCCGCTGGAAAACACAAACACCAGTGCCGAGCCAGCTGCCGTCAGCCCCCAGGTGAGGAAGGTTCCCAGCACCGACTGGATCACCGGCCCGTGCCCCGGGATCATGCTGACCTAGGAGAAGCACCTGGTGTTTAGACACAGTGAATAACCCCCAAATCCCTCCCTGGTTAATGGGGGAGCACCCCAAACCCCTCCTCAAAGGGAAGAGCGAGCATAACTACCCTCCCCGCACCACCTCTCTAAGCTTCTCTCTTCCCTCGAAGGAAAGCTTTGCAGTTTTATCCCAGCTCAGCACAGCAGGAGGGACTGGGGAGGGATGGGACACACCACATCCCACCCAGTGCATAACCCCACACACTGATTTTGCAGAGAAACGCAAAGAAACGGTGCTCAAACCTCGCCAAGCGAGGGGACGCTTGGCCCCACGTCCCCAGGCACGTGCATCACACCCCACTTCTTGGTGGCACTTATTTATGCCAAAAACCTATTTCGCTGACGGCGAACGCCCTCGCAGCACCCAGCTCGAGGAGCCCCAGGACAACGCAAAAAGGGGCACAAGTCCCAGGACGGGGCAAAAAACGGCAGTTGAGGGCTGCGCAGAGCAGAAGGGGGTGTCCGAGGAGGGGGTTATTGGGAGGGAGCACTGCCAAGAAAATACACGCACGTGCATAAGTATAGGCATATAAACATATAAAAGTGCACATGTATTTATACATTTACACGTAAATATATCAAAACGCGCATGTATTTATCCACCTATATAAGAAATACACACCCTGTTGCCTTCTTGCCCCCTCGAAGCCCCTCCCGGGCCCCAGCCCTGTCCCAGGGCCACTGCCAAACCCGCGGGGGTTGCCCTGGTCAGACCCCCCCTCGGCTGCACCGGGTCATACACCCCACCCCACACACCCCACACACCCCCCCGGGCTGACCGGCCCCGGGGAGAGGGAGACACACACAGCCGCCCCCCTCCAGCAGCCCCCGGCCCCAAGGGGGGAACCCCAACACCCCACCGGGC